TCATATAATTTCGATATTACACAAACTAAAATGTGTTGTATGCATTTGCTTCATTTATCAACGTATTATCGTGGTCTATCAGGAAATTTAAATAGAATATAATATTGTGTGTATATAGCCGGAAACAAATCTTGAATCTTGTGAAATCTGCGCTGGAGAACGGCAAGTGTTCCCTGCGAAAAAAAAGTGGGTATCAATTTTATCACGGTAACATTCAAACTGGATTATAGTACCGGAAATCATACCGTAAACTATGCATACCCTGACCAAACTGCATGGCCAGTGTATACCGTAATCTGAACTGGATTACTGTATACCGTAAAATGAACCGTATACAACAGGGTGCTCCAGTGCGTCCAGAGGCCGGTCTTGCGGATTGGGAACGGAGGGTGCGCGAGTTACGTTTTGGTGGTATCGGAAAATATACGCACGGAGAAGACTGGGTCTCGATGCACAAAATGTAACCCTGGTTGGACTGGCGTGGGTCATCTCAGACGCTCTATATCCCACGCCAGTCCAACCTTGACATAGTCCTTGCTCAGCCTCAACCTGTTGTTGGGGAAGTTAATGGTCAGCAAGTAGTCGCCGTCCTTCAGGATGTTGTGGCACCCTCAGACATTTTACTCCAAGCCCTTCGGGCTGCTGACATACCTGTTACGCCACCCACTGAACCCGACTCCGTTGAGTCCGCTTCTGAACTCTCTTCGGATGAGGAGGATGACACCTGGGCCGTTGCGGCCGATTGAATCTTAAGGTGGCTCTCTGACCACCCAGCACCCGATGAGCTCCCCTCTGATGGAGACGACGATGTTGATCATGACGATTCGCGCCGCCCAGTCTTTTTAGAGCCGCACGAGTGGCACCCTTTCCGCCCGAGGGCCCCCGCCAAATGAAAACTCGGATCTTACGGAGACGACTTTCTCCTTTCACACTCTAGAAAAAAGGGTGTAGTGGGTACACCCGCAGGGGGTGTAAGTGCTGCCACATATACTACACCCATAAAGGTGTACACGTACATCTTAAAGCGAGGTGCATATATACACCCTCTTTAGGGGTGCATGTGTGCACCCCTAAAGAGGGTGCACACATGGTAGTGTCCATTCTCTCAGCAGCCGTCAGAATTATTTACCCAAAATCGTGCCGGCAGTCGTCACTCATTGGCGATATAATCACTTTATCGAACGGCGTTTCATCGACAGCTCAGGTTAGCTTTCCTCTATAAGCAACTCTTCTCTTTTTTTTTTGCAATGAGCCGCTCCAGACTATATGCGCGAGGTGATATATACGGGTATCACAGGTAGGGTAAACGTCTTTTTAATGAGCCGCCGCATACTGTCGCCACGAAGCGACATGACGGGTGGGCTGAGTCGGTGAGCTCAGAGACACACGCACGACGAAATGTCCCTACAGCGTGTATTTCGCGTAACGAGTGACGTTGAAACTTTAGTGTCGACGAAACGTCTAGAAAACATCTATCAACGAAAAGGTGTCCATGAAACGCGTGTTCACAAAACGCCCGGAGAGTAAGAAAGTCACCTGCAGTTTTCACATGACTGTAGACAGCTAATGGCAGGCGACTGCCGATAGAATTTCGGGGAAATTATTCTCCCGGCTGCTAGAAAATAGACACCGCCTAATTTTAGACGTAATCCGGAACGGAACGGTCAATTGCTGCAAAGGAGTAGGTTGCAGCGCACTTACGATGAAAATACCGGACTTGAAATATGTAATCCGAGATAGATGTTGACACGGGCACTGCAGAACCACACAAACAAAAAACACGGAAAGAAAGGGGTCTGTGACGATTCAACACGATGTGGCTGAAGAAGTAATTTGCCAAATCGAACACTAAACGCATCACATGAATTCCTTGGGCTCTTTTGAAGAAGTCGCGTTTTGCCGATGTACGTTGGACTTTTCAAACACTGGAAGCCTTGGTACCCTCGAATACGTTGTCACAGACGAAATCTCTCGCAGCCCCGCTGGTCGCAGCACAGCACACAAGAAACTAGGCCGGGAAGCAGACATTCCCGGATCGGAAAGAGCTACTACGTCACCCGTGAAACCTTTGCCACATGATCACGCTCCTGCCATTACTTGCGCCCAGACGGCGGACTCAAGGATCAAAAAAGCCTCCGGTTCATTGGTCCGACGACTACGTAGCCTCTTCCACGCTTTCAGCTTAGGGAGAGAAAGAAAAGAGAGGAGTATACGAAAATAGCAGCTCCTTCAAGGCCAAAAGTGGCTGCCCACGCGAAGGCTTATCTTCAGGGTTATCCCAACAATGAACACAGCTACAGGATTTGTCCCCTATATCCTCTTGAAAGTTCGACCCAAAGTTAATAGTGCAGTGGATGCTACCCGTGGCCTTGGCCTTCAGGCAGGTGCCATGCTCTGCCTTATTTCTAGCTTGGAGACTGTAGTCACGTGATCCTACCCGGAGACCCGATTGGCCTAAAACAAGCATAGCGTCTACTCGACTGTCAATACCGAGTGAACAAAACAGTTCCATACTTCCTAAGAAACTGCCCAACCCAAAAGTGACCCCCAAGAGGGCATTCAAGCACACGCTGAACGGGGCGCGTGGCTAGCGTGGTGGTGCACTGATACACCTAGAGGTTTTTAAGGGAGAGGAGGATGCTCATTGTCGGTGCACAAATACACTGGCTGAGCAACGGAGGGTGCATCTTTCAGAAAAAGGGTGCATGTGCTGCTGATACACCCGACTACACCCGATTTTTCTTAGAGTGCATCCTCCCTCCGATTACTCATGTCTGCGGAACCCATGGAAAGTGGCCTCTGTCGTAAACAATCACCCCCCCCCCCCCCACCCTAAAACTGACCAACTCCCTGTCTTAAGAGACGATGTTGCCTCCATGCTGGCATCTGGCCTTATCCGCGAATCCCAACCTGGACCCTTCCTCAGTCCAGTTCAACTGGCCCCTAAGTCCTCGACTGAATCTTGTTTCATCCTCGATGCCAGTCACTTGACACCACACCTTCCTGCACCAACCTTCCGGTTTGACCCTCTTCCAAAAGTCCTCCTCCAGGCCCCCCTTCCACCACATGCATACTTTACAATGGTGGATCTGGCGGAGGCCTTCTATTATATACAACTGCACCCACAAGCCCAACGGCTCACTACGTTTAGGCTGGACGGACGCTACTTCTCTTTTACTCGTCTCCCCTTTGGGATACGTCCTGCACCCTTCTTTATGCAGGCCCTCGCTACGGCGTTGGCCCGCACTCTTCGAGGTCGCGGTCTCTGGGCCTGGGCCTGCATCGACAACTTTTTATCTGCTCAATCCGACCCTTCTTTTTTGTCCCAACAAACCCACCATTTCCTTTCCGACTTAACGAGCTGTGGGATTCCTGTCAACCCCCGGGACGCGCTCACTACACCAACCCGTGACATTCGTTTTCTCGGTTTTCACTTGGACACTACTAATGGTGTCATCCCTCATACGCGCCAGCGCATCCAGTCCCTACACGACACCATCCAGCTCCTCCAGGCCCCTCAACCAGTGTCCCTGTACCAACGCCTTGCCGGAATATGGTGCTTTTAGTTTTCTTTATATCGGTCCCGGTACCACGCACTCCGACCACTTTTTGACTCACGTGAAACTGATGCCTCCACCGCGCGCATGGTGTGCCATTTTTTCTTTGTTGTGGCAAAATTTGCCCCACACCGTTCCCCTTGTGCCCCGCCCACCTACCGAGGTGTCTTTTGCTGACGCTTCAGCACACGGACTCGGCGTTGTGACCCCAAGTGCGGCCCTCGCCATCCTCACCAAGCCCGACCCAAGAATTTTTCTACGAAAGACTTTGGCCTGGACCATCGTGGCCCTTCTTGCGCCGCCCAGAACCATCATCTACACTGACAACAGTGCCCTGCGGATGGGCCTTACTGCAGGACACCTTCGCGCGCTCCCCTGGGAGCTTTGTGTTGTTTGTTCTTTTCTCAAAATAAACGTGGACTTGTGCTCAAAGTGGATCCCAACTGACCTAAACCCGGCTGACATGCCCTCACGACTACCTCACATTTTCCGCCCATTCGCGTCTGCGATTGGCTGAGGGCAGGCCGGCGAAGAGAGAGGAGGTTCTTGGTATAAAAGGCCGCGGACCATCTCTCCTTGGCAGTTGGGATCTAGAGCGTGCGCGGTGACCCACGTTAGTCCAACCAGGGGGGGGGGGGGGGGGGGGGCAGTCGGGCGCACAGGGTGCCACTCGCGTGGCTCTAAAAAGACGGGGCGGCGCGAATCGTCATGATCAACATCGTCGTCTCCATCAGAGGGGAGCTCATCGGGTGCTGGGTGGTCAGAGAGTCACCTTAAGATTTTATCGGCCGCAAGGGCCCAGGTGTCATCCTTCTTATCCGAAGAGAGTTCGGAAGTTGACTCAACGGAGTCGGGTTCAGTGGGTGGAGTAACAGGTATGTCAGCGGCCCGAGGGGCTTGAAGTAAAATGTCTGAGGTTTAAACCGTGACCAAACAGTCTGGCCGGTGCATACCCTAACCGGAACTGGATTACTGTATACCGTACAATGAACGTCGTTGCCCTACTCAAGAAAAAAACATATAATTTTCATACGGGTTGACCCGTTAGGGTCATATGATGTTATGGACATACGGGGCCCCGTATGCAAACAGGTCGTCCTATAGGTGAACGGATCGCAAACAGGGGCACCCGACCTGATACGAGTGGACCTGTTATGTAGGTCGACCTGCTTTGCGGGTCGACCCGTGTTGCAGGACCGCCCGTACAATTCCTGCTCAGAAAAAAGGTGAGCTAGCAATCTCCGGTCTGCCCTTCGTATTCCGAGGCTCTCCACTGAAATGAAATGCCGACACCCTTCCTAAAAGGAGCAGGCAAAAGGAACTTAACAGAATGACTCGAGTGAAGGTACAGTTGAGGAAACATATATTGCACGCATGACAAAGCAAATAACCCAGCACTGTCATGACATCAACAGAAAAACTGAGTTAGCTCTCAGAAGCAGCTTAAAACTGCAGCTTCCTTTTGATATATTGAAGTTGCTCCGCGATATACTTGTTCATGAGACCCTTCCGTTTCCTAGGCGGCACATACAAGGGTGCTTGCCAGGTGTACACGCCGAAAACAACTGAAAATGAAAAGAACATAAAAATTATCAATATATACCGCTGTTAAGTCAAACCCCTTTATGTCGAACTCGCAAAAAGACCGTCTACCAGTTGGATATAGCGTGTAATTATATATAAAAGTTTTAATAAATTTGACATCGAACAAGTACGCCACATTTAGAAAAGTTGTTTACTCTTGATTACAGAGTTGTGCCCGTTACCGAAAAAAAGTAACGAAATAGCGTTGCTCGTTAGTTTGGTAAAAAGTAACGCGTTATTGAGCTACGTTAATCTTTTACAAACGTAACGATATACCGTTACCGTTACTTTTCAGAAATAACGAACGTTACTTTTACGTTACTTTTCTGTTCGAGTACATATGTTTGGCCGAGACGTATGATAAGCCTCCTTAACAAGCTTGGATAAAGATAAAAGTTTACAAAGTGGTTTCATAGTATTTTGATGCGCAAAGCAGCTTAATTTTCGGCATGTATATTAGGCATTGAAACTGTAAATCACCTGATTTTGTCTCCTTTAGTTGATACATTTCATTCAGACCTGCTGGGCATGGCAACGGACTTTCGTTATTCATGCCCATCTCACGCGCAGAATGAGTCGGAGATGTTAGTCAATCGACTTTTATAAACTACAGCATGCGAACGAGGCCCTTGTGGAACACAACCAGCCAACCAACACCCCTCATCTGTACGCCGGTCTTAGTAGCAGTCCGGCTCATACTATTACCAGAGACTGATTTACTTCACTATCTGGAACAGGACACCGGTTACCAGCACACTGGCTATAATCACTTGCTGCCTCTTACCAGCAATAACTCTTAATTTTTCTGTAAAAAAAAAAAAAAAGGTTTGGTGTTTGTAAGTTTTCTTTCCAGGTTTGAAACTTTTTTTCTTTAATTGTTTTATCATGACCTTAGGGAATTAAAGACTAATCAAGCGAAAGATTCTTCTGTGTACAAAAGTAAATCAGGAACTTTCAGGCAGCGAGGGGGAGAGCGAGGGTAAAAATATTCCACAAAAGATGTTTATTTTTATTTTTTTTTTTTAAACTAGAGAAATTAGAAAATCGCTTTGCCACTAGTTGTCCACTGTTGTAAACGGATGTCTCTCCACGGCTCCCCCCCCCCCCCCCCCCCCCCGCTGCCCACTTCTGCTGCACAAAGCAGAGGGGGGGGGGGGGAAGAGGAGGGAGGGGAGGGGGCTGTAACGCAGCCATTTGTTCAAGCTTTGTGGGTGGTGACACTATAAAAAAAAAAGGAAGATGAACGGAATTAGCTGGTAGCCGAAGGTTTTTTTTGCCTTCGAGAAGTGAGTTTTTTTGTGGTTTTTTTTTAAACTTTACTGTGACGGATGCTGGTTCCGTGCAGCGATAAGTTGGTGCAGGATTTTGGGATAAGCTCGTGCAGGATTTCACCAGTTTTGGTCAAAAGTAACGAGTAACGAGTAACGAAATTTGACAGCCGATACCGTAAAAAAGTAGCGGAAATACTTCACTCGTTAGTCACTCAGAATACTAACGAGTACGTTACTGCGTTAGCGAAAAATGTCACGCGTTACCAGTAACGTCGTTACTAGTAACGCGTTTCCTCCAACACTGCTATTGAAGTAGCGTCTTTACTCATGAGGGACGCTCCACGCGGCTATTCAGTGGTCCCTTCTTCGTTTTTAAAGGTCTCACCGGCTCACCCCCCTACTGAAAAAAACCATTTGGCGCCTATATGAAAATAAACGGGTTCATACCGGTAACAGTTTAACCATACCGGTCTCCACTTTGTCAAAGGGGTCGCCCGTATGGCTCAAAGGGGTCCCCCGTATGAGCCATAACGGTCAGCTATTTGGACAAACAGGTCACTTTTTTGGCAAACGGGTCGCTCGTCTGGGCAAATGGCTCGCTCCTTTGGGCAAATGGGCGACTCGTTTGGGCAAAGTTGTCGCACGTTTGCTCAAACCGGTGACCATGTTGCAAACTGCACCGGTTTAATCAAATGGCTTTCCGGAGCCCGTTTGATACTGAACGTACAGATCGGCGGCGTGGGCACGCCTAGCGTTTCAGCCGTGGCAGCCAATGTTTCCGGAAGGCTGGGAGCGCCGGTTCATCGAATTCAGATCGCCCGCGTAATGCAAGTGATTATATTTATATTTCAATTGCGCTGATGTTCGCTTATACTGCGACTAAAACTAACATCTTTTTTGTTGTTGTTGTTGTTTTACGTAAACGCGCGACGTTGGTGAGCCAATATTTTTGACAGAACTTTAAAACTTTGTCCATCTTTGTTGCCTCAATTTACTTATTCAGCTCGAACCTCTCTCGCAGAAGACGCGACCGCGTGAAAGAATGTACGTCTAGACTCCGTTTCACTTTAATTCAAGACGCAGCGAAGGTAGCACGCGTACACGCGGCTGCAAGAACATCGAGCATTGTGAGAGCACGCCCGCCGTTGCAGCAGTCAAACTACGAGCTCGCGCTGAGTATTTTCTTCGCTCGGGCGAAAGCCGAGCTTCTGGCCGCCCCGCTGCCATTTCACAAAATTCAAGCGTGCTAAAATGCGCGCGCGCGCGCGTGTTTTTTTTTTTTTTTTTGAGGTTACAAAAACACATCTTTCTGGAATGCCTGGGGAGAGGGAGAGGGGCTGTTTCTGTGTGTCCTCGCCCCCTCCCTCCTTTCTTGTCACCCGTCACGTGACCCGCACCCGCGCGCGAGCTACACGCTCATAAGCATCGAGTTCCGGAAGGGTGCGCCTAGCAGCCGCTTTTTTCTTTATCTGCTTGTTGTCAGTTCCAGCTCGAACTTAGCGCGTCCACCTGCTTCGATCTGTCGTCTAACCCTGCTGTCTTATTAGGATGTCTCTCGACAACGTATTTGATGTGCACCAAAGCTATTAGTGTTTGAAAAGTCCTACGTCTACATCGGCAACAAGCGATTCTTCGAAGGAGTCAGGAATTCTTGCGGTTTGGTTGGGTTCGGCAACTGACAGCTTGTGCACCACATCGTGTTGAAACTTCCAAGAAGCCGTTCCCTCTCATTTGTGTTTGTGTGGTTCTCCTGCTTTGACCGTGTCGACAAATATCACGGATTACATCTTTCAAGTCCGCTATTTTTATGGTAAGTGCACTGCAACCTACTTCTTGGCAACGATTGACCGACTCGTACTCTTCCAGATTATCTATATAATTATGCAGCCACTATTCTCGCGGCAGCCGGGCAAATAATTTCCCGAAAGTCTACCTTCATAGTCTAGAATTACCTCGGTTCTTGTTTGGTTTGCTATCTTCTCAGTTGTGTAAAAGCTTAGAGTGCCTCTCATATTTCACAGATCGCTTGCACGTTTGTGCTTGTCTACAGAAGACGTAATAAACTTTGAGGAGAATTGAAAACAATCTTTTGTGTCTGTTTTCCTGTCCATTTGCAACGCCTACGTGAGCACATTTGTTCTACGTGTTTCCTCCATGTTATAAATAGGTTTATGAGTTTCGGAACGTCTTAAAAAAGTTTAAGATAACCAAGATAAACAAGGAGCCATTGGATGGTTCATGTTAAACTCCCAGATGAGATGCAGCCAAGTACTTAAGAGTGAATGTAGCCTCAAGGAAGCCGAGCTACAAGCTATACTGGCAGGAGCCAAACAAGCGGCCACACACTGCAACAAGACAGAAGCCCTTTACAAACACGTATGGGTATTCACTGATAGTAGGGAGGCACACGCAGAATGCGACAAGGTTGACACCTATAGCAACACCGTCCAACAGCTGCGAGAATTAGGCCAGCAATTTGCAGATGAAGGACGCGTCCTTCGAATTGGATGGGTACCGGGACACTCCGGCATATATGGTAACGAAGAGGCCGACAATGCTGCCAGAACGGCGCTTGAAGCTGCGCCTGCGAGACCAGACCAGGAGCAACAGGAACAATGTCAAGAAGGTGAAATTAATGTCCTCCCCTTCGACCCCGACGAGTTTCTGTCCCTGGGAAGGACGAAGAGGCGCAAGACACTGAAAGATCTGGTCCCTCAAGATCCGGACGGCGAATTACCTGCCGAATACAGCCGGAGCGACCGCGTTATTCTGCGCCGGATCCGCACCAACACGGCAATAACGCCTGCCCTGCAGGCTAAGCTGGACAGAGCCAGACGAGCCCGACATCCCGATGACCCCGGGCCGGTTATCGACGGTGACTGCACTCGATGCGGGAGCAAGAGTCCAGCAACTATAATACATCTTCTCTGGGAATGCAGAGCGACTGTACTCTCAAGGCGGGCCACCATATACAACCTCCCCGCTTGTCATCGACCCAAAACTTTCGTAGAGTGGACGCGACCAGGGGGCGACATACAGCACAGAAAGATTGTGCTGGACTCTCTGCTTAAGTTCATTCGAGAAGCCGGTATCCGGCACTATTTTTAAACATTTCATCCTCATCGTATTCCCCATCTCTCACCCCTCATCTTCCCCACAAATGACGTAAGGTCAAGGTGGTGAAAAAATCATTAAAATACGTCTTAAACAAACAAGAAGATAACCAACCTACCAGACGATCCCCGTTTAGGGCTAGCGCATAATTTCCCGATTCGAATGGCACGTTCAAACGTGTGGTCACGTGCAAGGTCGAACGGGCACCTGTATCAAACGGGCGCCCGTATCAAACGGGCACCTGTATCAAATGGGTACCGTTTCGAGGGGGTACCGTTTCAAACGGCTACCCGTATCCCATAATCACGTTTGATCCGAACGGGTCGACAAGTTTGCACCCGTTTGATTTACCAGTTTGCCACCCGTTTGAATTTCAAATGGTTTTTTTTTCAGTAGGGCCGCTGCCTGCTCCCTACGCAGAAGAGAATTTTATTTTTTTCTTCCGGGGGGTTGACGCGGTTGTCCAAAACAAGAAAAAAAAAAAACAGCTTTCTCTGCGAGCTGGTTTTCCACCAACAAGGTGCCACCATTGGGGAAAAGCCAGCCTGCAGAGCAAAACGGCGCTCTTGGCAGATCGATCTACCGGAAGACGCTGC